CTCGCGGCGGCCCGTGTGAGTAGCGCTGCCCGCCGGAGCTGCCCCGCGCGGCCAGCCCGGGCCCGGCTGACTCCCCACTCTGCCTTCCTTCCAGCCCCGAAGCACAGGGCGTCATCAGCGGTGCCGTGTTCCTGATCATCCTCTTCTGCTTCATCCCCGTGCCCTTCCTGAGGTGCTTTGTGGAGGAGCAGTGCGCGGCCTTTCCTCACGACGAGGTGAGGCTTGCCTGGCGCAGCGAGCGCAGCAAGCTCGGGCCGGGAGCAGCCACTGGTGACCGGGATCCTGTTCTCTGTCCTGCAGTTCGTGGAGCTCATCGGTTCGCTCCTTGCCATCTGCTGCATGATTTTCCTGGGCTTTGCAGATGACGTTTTGAACCTGCGCTGGCGCCACAAGCTGCTTCTTCCTACCATGGCTTCCCTCCCACTGCTCATGGTTTACTTCACCAACTTTGGGAACACGACCATTGTGGTGCCTAAGCCCTTCCGGGTGCTGCTGGGCATGCACTTGGACCTGGGTGAGTTATGAGTCACCAGAAGCCATCATCCAACTGATGAGCAATTGGTGGAAGGAATCACCTGAAGCTGTCTGTGCTGCAGAGGGAGCAAACAAAAGGATTTGGTTAAGTAACCAGTGAAAGGGTGGAACTCCACCCACTAAATATTAGGCTGAAAGAACATCCAGAAACCCAGCACACGTTCAGTTGTGAATAGATAGGCACCGATCATTTTCCCATGATTCTGGCAATATGGGTGTACACAACACGTAGTTGCTAACACCAGCATGACTGAAAGAGAGACAGAACCTTGCAGCCTGCCCCTGTGGCACAGCAGTTTGCTGCAGTCGCAGTGCTGTATGTATGTGTACACATGATGGCCAGCTCATAGGAGAGGAAGCAATCTATTTGCAAGCTACCACAATCAAAACTCACTGAGATTGTTAGGTAAAGGATTGTTGTACAAAGCAAGAAGTGAAAGCTTCGGTGAATTGGCCCAGGGCCTGCTTTGCCTGCCAGTACTAAAGCATTTGGCTTGCTCTGATCTGTAGGTATCCTCTACTATGTGTACATGGGCATGCTGGCAGTGTTCTGCACCAACGCCATCAACATTCTCGCTGGAATTAACGGGATTGAAGCAGGACAGTCACTGGTGATAGCTGCTTCCATTATCGTATTCAACATTGTAGAGTTAAATGGTAAGGAAAATAACAAACATTTGGGGGTACAAAAAGCAAAGGGAGATTGAATCCTAGTCTGCAATAGCTGTTATTAATAAAAATCAACCAGTCCTGTCTTATCACAAACAAACACGTTTTCCTTTTTTCTATAGGGGATTATCGAGATGATCACATCTTTTCTCTCTACTTCATGATTCCCTTTTTTTTTACCACGCTGGGCCTATTTTACCACAACTGGTAAGAGGAAGGACATCTGTTTCTTTGGAAGCATCCTTTCCCTCTACTTTCTCCCTTTTCAAACACACAAACCGCTTAACAATGTGCAGATGGGATGCTGGAGGGTAGATAGGCTTCTTGCCAGAACTAAGAGCACAAAGCATTTATGTGGTGGTAGCTTTTCTTTTTATTAGAACAGTTGTGGTCCCACCAGCACCCCCAAATGCACAGAGTCAGAATACATTCCCTCCCATGCCTCACTGGACGTCTTTTCCTACCGTATTCTCTACAAGTCGGGTGGTGAGTCCCAGTCCTGCAGTTCTTAGAATAAATACCTACAATTGTTTTTACTGTGTAGATCTACTGCAGATCCCTCTTGGCCCCTAACCTGTGATGTGGGCATACGTTCAGTGGTTAGAAAGTAATTTGCATGGTAACAGTAATCATGACAGACCTTTGCTTTTCTGCCCCATGGATTACAGGTACCCATCTCGAGTGTTTGTTGGGGACACCTTCTGCTACTTTGCCGGCATGACCTTTGCCGTGGTGGGGATCTTGGGGCACTTCAGCAAAACCATGCTGCTTTTCTTCATCCCACAAGTGCTCAATTTCCTCTACTCATTGCCTCAACTCTTCCACATCATTCCTTGTCCCCGTCACCGGCTGCCAAGGTAATGTACCTGAGTGACCTATAGTGGTACCACAGATTGTGTCTTTTATCTTCAACACCAACTGAGAAAGGTGGTGATAGGTGCTCTTTTTAAAAGCCATCGAAGTATGTTTTCTAGTTAAAAGGTAGCCAGCTCACTCTGTCAGTTACAGTTGAGTCATACTGTAGAGGTTTCTCAGAAAAGTGCACTTTTCTGACCACCCCACTCCTCAGATACAGAAGAATATTTTTAACAATATTAGAATATGATGACTCTCAGCTACAAGATTGAGAGAAGTTGACACAGGGTGCTTTTAATGCTGTTGCAGTGAGATCTGCTAAGATTTCATAGTAGCAAGCATTCTGCAGCACTATGCCATGTCAGCTATGGTCTCTGCAGATGTTAGATTCTTCTATTTTAGTCTTTAAACTATACAGCTTTATGCATATATAGGGGGTACAGGGGAAGAGGAGTCTCCTCTGCTCCCTCTGAGGGACTAGGTATCAACAGCTGTTGTTACTTTTTTTTTTTTCCTCCACTGGATTTCTTTCTTGGCTACTCAGCTGTGCATCTAAGTCTGCTTACATAGGGGTCTCTGTCTCATTGTTTTATCTGGACTAAATTTTTAATGTTTCTTTTAGGCTTAACCCTACTACAGGAAAGTTGGAGATGAGCTACTCCAAATTCAAAACTAAGAGCCTCTCTGCCCTAGGATCAAACATTCTGAAGGTAATACCCAGAAAACATTCAAAATTCAGATGCATTTTGAGGCAGTGGTCAAACGCAAGAGGAGCAAGATGGAAGGGAATGCAAAACTTCTAGGTTCAGTAGTTATTTCCTGGCTCAAATCCAGAAGAAAATATTCTGCGTATTCTGTTACCATCCCTCACGGTCACATGATTGTTTTAATAATCAGTCCCAGATTTCAGGGATGGTACAGCAAAAGGGCTCTTGAACAAAACCAAGCCAGTGAGCACCAAACGTACCTGGTGCAATAATGTGCAATATTTCTTTCCCCAGGTAGTCAAGATCTTACATGTAGTAGATGTGAGGAGTGGAATGGATGAAGATGGTGAATACACTGAATGCAATAATATGACACTTATTAACTTTGTCATAAAGCTGATTGGACCCACCCAGGAGCGAAATCTCACTCTTCTATTGCTACTCATTCAGGTCAGACAACAAGTTCCTCCAGAAGAAAGATGTACTCTAGAATGGAAACAGATCCAAGTCAGTCTCAAGAGTTTTAAGGGGAAAGGGGGAAGTAAATTATCGTGCTCTTCACACAAGATGCAGTTGAGCTGTGGAACTTAGGGAGGCTTACACAGCTCAAGGAGGAAGCAAATTCACATGCACACCTCCCTGTTCATTGAGAGCTTATAAAAACAGTCTCTAGGTTAGCTTGAGGAGATTCCCAAGGCACAGATTATTGGCTGCAAGAAAAACATGAGGACAGCAGAGTGCTTTGTGACTCTGACCAAGTACAGCCTTTCTGCATGTTCCTGTTTGTTAGTCATAGCAAATGAGAGTTATCTGACAGGTGGACTTGTGTAAGGGTGGCACAAGGCTCAGCAGTCCCCAGAATCTGAGCAGGAGCATTTTGGAACCACTTGGAACACAAGGATAATACACCTCACAGATACTGCCACTACCCCTATTCAGCATATGAACTCTCATGCATGATATAGTAGAAACACCACTTTTGGAAAGGCAAGCATTGGTTAATTGCCTCTGATAAATTCTTTTTTTCAATCTCAGATTTAAGATAAGAGGGTCTTATTACAAAAGAGACACTTAGCAAAATTCCCATTCAGGAGAAAGGACTTCCAACAGAAGCCTGTAGAACAGACCTTAGGCAGATGACATCGGGGATTGCAGAAGACAGGAAGTAAAGAGCCCAGTCACAGCAAAGAATTCCTGACAGCACCTTATTGTAAGGATGCTGAATTGCAGCCTTTACATGAGGTATTTTCCATTACAAACCATATTATATTATGATATAGGCTCCTTAAGGACAAATGAGTTATTCCCAACCGTTCATTTCATCCACATGTTCTCAGAATGTGACTGTGTGCAGGCACATGCAGAAATCCCCCACTGATACCTATAATTCTCAAAGAAATTGGGTCTGTGGATAGACTATACCTAAAACATTTAGCCTATGTGTTGCTGTTTAATCAAAGGAGGCATGCTGGAAAGCTTAGCAAATCCATATGGAAAGGAGAAATCTGACAGCCTGTAGACCATTCAACACTGTAATGTTTCTGTTGTATGTCTTTTTTACCTAGGTCCTGGGCAGCACCATTGCATTTTCCATCCGGTACCAACTAGTGCGTTTGTTTTATGATGTCTGACTGGACCGTCAGGAGTAAGGGAAAGAGTTGTACCAGCCGGTCCATTTTCTCCAGTTGCTGATCAAATGATTCAACTGATCTTACTCCAGCCCTCTGAGAACCTCAGAATACCTGTCAAAACACAAGCAACTGCTCTATGTGGGCTAGTCTTGAACCGTTTGTTTTGGGGTTTTTCGGTGCATCAGAGGCTTTTGTCCAATTCTGTTGATGGAAAGGGTTCACTGCTACTTGGACATCACTGTTACTGGGAATACCTTTCAGAGGGAAAGCAAATGACCCAAATGTTTACTGACAGGGAAGTGGGAAAGATGGAATCTCTATACATCTAACAAGGATGTTACTGTTCCTCAAGAGAGAAAACAGCAGCTTTAAATTCTGTGAGATGCTCTAGAGCACAATAAGTAAACCAGATTTCGCTCCTGGCTTTTCCAATCCTTTGGTCCATGGACATAGAGTGACATGTTATAAACCATGCTCAAAACTCAGAACGCTCCAAGAATAAAATAACTCATGGTTCCCTTTCCCCTGCAGTGCTTTGCCACGACAATATTGACATGCAGTAAAACTGGGTTACACGATCCCTCCCTGTACCTTTCTACCCTGCTAGGGGGTTGATCATTTCTGCAGTTGACTCCCTCCTTTTTTATGGCTACTAGGAATGTTCCCTGCTGATGGGCTTTTAATTTTGAACATCATCATCTGCCTTCCTCTGTAGAAGAGGACACATCTGGAACAGGCTAGCAGAGTAAGGATCGCTGTGTCCTTAGATTAACATGGAACTAAGACCCTGCAGGCTGCCATTATCTTCTCATCAAATATAAATAATTACCTATAGAGCGGTATAGCACCACTGCTACTTACCCAGCAGAAAAACACAGAACAGCCATTGGAGCACCGGGTTAAAGAGTCTGCGCAAGATTAACGGCAGTGAAAAGTGAAATAATGCAATGGCAAAAACAGGGATGCTGAGGTGGCTGAGTAGGAGTTGCCAGGTCCAGTACCTTAATAGATGCAAGGCTGCTGCACCTCCACACACCCACGTCCAGCCAGTAGCGAGGCTTGGGATGTTTTTCCAGTATGCAAAAACATGTATGTCCAGTGGCGCTGAGTAACAGAGACAACACACAGCACTCGAGCGTGGATGGCACGAGTGCCAAATCCTCTTCCTCTTCTCCAGTTCGTAAGTCTACTAGTGGAGTATATTCATAAACACATACATACACAAACATTACAAAACCCTTCAGTACCTGGCCTTAAAACACTCGGTCTGTCCAAAAATGTGCTGCTGGATTTCATGGCATATGGAGAGAAATTAATCTCTCTGCTCTGATCCAGTAGGCAAAGCCCAGACAGCCACCGCATTTTCTTCAGTAAGCTGGCTTAGCCCTACCTCCAGTAAGCATCCTGCCCACCCTGATCTCCCATATGAGATCCTGGATATCTGGCTCTAAATCCTACTCACTCTCTGGTTTGGCTCGTTCACTAGGGATCGCACATCTTTTCATTCCACCCTAGCCCTGGCCCCTCCTCTCCCTGCATGCACTGAGGTCTTCCTGTTTGCTGGAACTGCATACACACTGACCCCTTTTACCTATGGCCTGATGCCAGTGGCTGGTACTTAAGACCTCCAGACATACATAAACACGCAGGGTTGACAGTCCCCTCACCCTAGAAAAAAAACCTAGAAATGGAGTTTAGTGAGGTGGGACAGGCTGCGGAGATAATTATTACTGATCAGCAACATATTAAGACATGGCCACTTTCTTCACACTTTTTCTCCTTCAATGGTCCCATAGTTTTTTCCTCCTAGTCAGCTTTGACTCCTTCCCTGCCTTTGGTGCTTCTCTTGATATACCCATACTATAAACCCATAATACATCTCACACACTCCCACAGTCCCCTAAAAGGATCTCATGTTAGGTTTTCGTTCCCAAATGCTCTTCCCCTGTATGAATGAGGACACCCATTGGCCTGCAGGCATCCCAGGAGCCCTCCTGCCTCACTCTGGATGGAAGCCAAGCCAAGGCCAAAGCCCAGGCCCAGAAGCTGACTCCAGTCCTCAAAACCTCTGGGAGCAGCCCAGGAGGGGGACCATCGTGCTGTTTCAGCCATCGCGTGCCTCATCTGCCATCACTCCTCTGCCCCTTTGGTCCTATCCCTTAGTAACCTGAGAGCTGGCAGAGCCAAAGCTCCTCACACAGACCTGACCTTGCAGCTTTACCCGCTGCTATCCGGAGCACTGGACGGACAGCACGAGGGACTCGCGGGACCGCGCTATTAGTTCTGCCGGACACCCCCCTCGGGAGGCGCCGCAAAACCCCCCACACCTCAAGGCCGCGGCGCGGTTTAAATTGGCGCCGCGCTCGTGCATTAGGTGGGCTCCGCCCCAATTACACTCAGGCAACGCGGCGGCGTCTCACAGAGACGACCAGTCAGCATAAAAAGCTTCTTACGCAGGACGCACAATTAGCGAGGCGCGGGTGTCGGTGTTCCAATGATCTGAGTCCTACGGTTGGGAGTTATAAAAGGCCCGGCGAGGCCGTTGCCGCCTCAGTTAGGCCACAGCGCCGAGCGGCGAGCGAAGGGCGTCATGTCCGGCCCGTCGGCAAGAGCGGCGGTAAGGCCCTGCGCTAAGTCCAAGTTCTCGCTCTCCCGGGCTGGGCTGCAGTTCCCGGTCGGGCGCGTTCACCGGTTGCTGCGACCTGCGGACTACCGAGCGGGTGGGGGCTGGCGCGCCCGTGTATCTAGCGGCCGTGCTCGAGTACCTGACGGCCGAGATCCTGGAGCTGGCGGGCAACGCGGCGCGGGACAACAAGAAGACGCGGATCATCCCCCGTCACCTGCAGCTGGCGGTACGCAACGACGAGGAGCTCAACAAGCTGCTGGGCGGCGTCACCATCGCGCAGGGCGGCGTCCTGCCCAACATCCAGGCCGTGCTGCTGCCCAAGAAGACGAGCGGCGGCGCCGCGAGCCCCGCCAAGGCCGGCAAGAAGGGCAGTGGGCAGCAGTCACAGGAGTACTAGGCCGGCCGCCCCTCCGGCGCCACACAAAAGGCCCTTTTCAGGGCCACCCCATTGCTCACGGGGAGAGCTGTAATCCGGGGAGGAGAGGGGGGGGTCGGGCCGGCTGCGGGGGACGAGCAGGAGCTGGCCCGAGGCCCATCAGACACCGAACACAAGAGCTGCTCTGTAAGGGCTCGTAATTTACTTGTATTTACCTCTTACCTTCAGTGGACGTTGCATAGAGAATAAACAGTGCTTCGTTAACAAAACAGGACCCCAATAGGGTGCCATTTCAGTATTTCTACAAGGCACTGTAACACACAAACCCTGCTGGGATGATGGTGACCCAGTAGTGAGTGCAAGGAGCCAAAGTAAAAGGAAAGAGCTGTTACAAAGAAAGGCACAATAGCCCAAATTTGGGCTTCTGCTTCAGCTCCCCATTCACTGGCTAGTGGAAATGAACTGGCTCAGATTACCCTTGTGGGCAAGCACTCAATGGCTGTCCACTCCCTCATTTAATCCTGACAAATTGGCAAATCTGCATCTACCTGATAACCACAGACTTAATTTACCTTAACGGAGAGCAAGGTTGAAAGTGGTATCTGTGCTACTTTACTAAAACAAACAAGGTATCATCACTACTGATGGGAACCTTCAGTAGTCCAGTGAGTGAACCGGCCCAAATAAGGCACTCTCTCAGCACAGTACAGCATTTTACTACCAGCACAGTTGAGTCTCCAATTATAATCTGTAATGAGCACTTTGTTCCTAAATGGAATAGAACGCTTACTGATTTTTATTTTTAATTTTTGCTTTTAACTTCCTAGCTACAAAAATTGTTGAAAATACTTCAAAGAGACACTTGGCAATTTAGAGAAATGTGGAGAGGGATGAAAACCCTGAACAGCACAAACTACTCAAGTTAGTTAGCTTATTATTTCAGATTTTTGCACCCAAACATCAGGCAAGACTGGTATGAGTGTTTAAATAAATCCCATCCTCCAGAGGATGACGGTGTAGCTGCAGTCTTGTAGCTGGTGTTGTAGCACTCCTGGCTGCACCGAGTTCAGCGTGTGTCATTGAGCTGCCTTGCCACACTAAGGATATGCTTTGCTCCCTTGCTCAGAAGTAAATTAGCCAGTTCAACACCCAGGTTCTCTGCAGCTTCCTGGGCCTGATTAGGGACACTCTTGGCTGTGATGCCAACATGCTGCACATCGTCGTTTGGTCCATCTTCATTCTGCAAATACAAACACCCCTAGGTAAGGCAGCAGGGAGGAGCAGGCAAGGAGCTGTTTCGGACGCCCACAAAACAGGGTAAAATCTGGTATGAGGAGCCTCGAGAACAGTGTGCTGTTACAACTTCCAAGGAACCAGACCAAAAGTAATCTATTTCTAAAGGTCTGGGTTTTGTCATTTAGCTTCAGGTTTGAATTTTGAAGCCACTGGGGGGCACGTACCTGATGGGGGTAGTTGACACTGGTCTGCATAGTCTCCTTCAGGCTATCGGATCCATCCAAGCTGTAGACTGCTCCTGTCAAGTACAACTTGGAAAGACAGACAGAATGGATTAATACCATATTAACAAACAAACAGCCAACTATCCCCTCTTTAAAAAAAACCCACCCAACATACAAAGCTAAGTCTGGAGGGGAAGGCTTTTGTCATGCAGTGGGAACAGCAAGAATAGCAGTACAATACAAGCATAAGAGAAGAAATCCCTGTTAAGGAAGATGCAACTTCCCAAGGAAAAGGATGGAATTTTTTTCTTGTCTCCCACCTCCTTAATCACACTCCATTGTCTAAAAACAGATTTGGTGGGGTCAGAAGCGAGACTTTCAGATCTCAGGGCAACACTACTTTAAAATAAGCAAGGGGGGGGAGAGGGGAAATCTGGTATGTATTACAAGGGAATTTTCTAGAAGATGGCTTCAGTAGCCAGACCCATTCATGGAAGGGCCAAGTCAGGAGACTATCTGCCCTAATCAGCTATAAAGATATCTGCTGAAATTATCTTCAGGGAAGGATCAGGGACACACTTGGAATAGGTTTTCAGAAATAATCCCAGAAAAGAACAAAGTACTCCTCACCTGGCCATCCTTCAGCAGAGTGCTGACAGCAACAGGGACACTACATCCACCTTCCTAAAACAAAAAGCAGCTGATGCTAAGGCTCCTACCCAAAACTTGCAAAGCAGAGGCCTCTGAGAAGTTTAGGATGCACACAACCCCCACCCATTACTTTTCAGGCCCTTCTTGATTCAGAAGTAATCCTTCCTTCACAGTTTTAGGAAAGCGTAATGGATTTCCCATACTATGGCATCAAGTCAACTAGCAGAGCAGTATTTACTGCTGCAGGCAGAAGAGCAAGGATGCCAGACCTACCAAACGCTTCATAAAGGCTCTCTCAGCGATGCAGCACAACACAGTGTCTGTATCATGCAGGGCAGATACCATATTCAGTATCTCTTGGTCTTTGGCACGAACTTCCACTGCTAAGGCACCCTAGAAGAAGAAACACACAACAAA